TCTTTAAAATGCACTTTTTCGAGACGGAAAAAAGACGGCCGTGAGCGCGAAAATCAGCTGGTGGAAAGACCGTCGTGAGCCGGACCAACCGTCGTCCACCCGTCTTTCAGCGGTCTCCCCACGGGCTCCAAACCGGCGCGTGACCGTCTTTTCCGTGGCTCGCCGATGAGACCAGAAAACTCTGTCTTACAGCCACAGTGTTCCATACGGGAGTCGCCCGCCGCTCGATTTGAACTTCCCGAGCGACGGTGACGTAGTCGTTCCCGCCCGCCGGCAAAAGATCGGGAGCCGTTCGGCCCCGGCCCACGGGGGGCAGCACGCCGAGTGGCCGGGGCCGGATTTGGCCCGCGGGCCGCCTGCCTGAGACCCCTGTATTAACTTTAACAAGGTAGACGCACGTTAAAACCGTGTGAAGCTGAGCTAAATGTGCGTCTACCTTGGCCTGGGGCGCGCTAAAATTAAAATGTTTTCGCGATTTTGGTTGGCATGCCTGTCCACCTCACATCCCAAATCTCACGCCAGGCGCCTCACTTCACGCCTTCTTCCGGGCGGCCTCCCCTTGCGCTTCCTGACAGAGCTGAGCATTTAAAGTTAAAGTTTAATTTCAAGTTCAAGTTAAGCTCAGCAATAAATGTTACATTTGATGAGCAACTTTGAAATAGTAGTGTGAGTACGTATCACCTGATTATCTCGTTTTTTTTTTAAGGAGGACTTGTCGCCTTTCACTATGAGGGACGGAAAAAAATAATTTGACTTACCTCCTTTTGCATCATATGCATAAAAGAGTTAAGTCGACTTAACCCCTTTTGCAAATTTTCCAATGACATAACTCTTTTCACATGTCCAGAATTTGGAGTTAAGTCGACTTTTCTCCTTATGTTGCCTTGGAGAAAAGACCATAACTCCATTAAGGAGCGTGATAGTAAAAAGTTTCAAAGTGCCAATAATATTATTTTTGAAAGTGCATTCCATCTGCATCATAACATTCCTAGAAAGTTATGTGCAAATAGTTTTTTTTTAATTCCTGAAAAGTGCGTTTTTTGTTGGCTGAGCGATTAGCGAAGCCCATTACTCCACTGACCGGAAAAGCTTCATTCTGTTTGTCTGCACTGATATATAAAGTGTGCAACTAACACACTTTAAAGTGTTTA